TCAACTTGTGTGCTCCACCAGACCACGCCAAGATCAGAACCTCATCGGGCATGTCCCACATTTACTCCAGTAAAATCACTAACACCGATATGGGATCTCCACACCGACTGCTCGGGCGGTACTGTTCTCGGCAATTATCATTCAAGAGTTTCGCGCAAAAATAAAAAAATAATTACTTCTTCCCTACGGAATTTTCCACTGCTGTTTTAAACAGCATTGACAGTCGCTGCAATTTCCTTGAAAGAAATTCAGCTTCGTGAATTTTTTCTCACAGACACGAAAAACTCTAAAAATCTAGGACATTTTACCTGAGAAGTGGTAATCTTCAAGCCCAAGCTGTAGACAAAAAGCCGATCACATGTGAAAAAAAAGAGCTGAAATAACCTGCAAGCAGTCGAGAGCGATGATAACGATGCGTGGTGATTTGGAGTGACAAGCCAGATCGAAGGGAAGAAAATAACGATCGGCGTGCACAAATTGCGACCTGGATGGCAGCACATTTCCGGTTGTTCCATCGTCACCCGTATCAGCGATACCCAATTCTTCAATCGCTTGCTCACAAGCTTTTCGAAGTTGCGCATTCTCCTGGAACAAAAAAAAGGTGACCGAATCGTTCAGAATCTTTCGAAAGTTCAGAATCTTACTTCGATCTTTTTGTAAAAAATCTCATTTCGACTGCCTGCAACGAGTTTTTTTTCAAAAATTCCTTCTCTATTTTACTTTCCTAAAGAATGATTTACCCTTTTTTCCAATTCTTCCAAAGCTTAAATCGAATCCTTCTTCCGTTTCTCCCAAAAATTTATTGCAGCTTTCCTTTTCATTTTCCTACTTTCCTTAAAAAACTGTTACAAATTCCCCACCAATCTTTTCGTAAATGAAGTCCAGTATACCCTCCCCCCAAAAAAAACCTATCTCAATTCTTTTTAATTCTCAAAAAATTCTCAAAAAAAAACCACTCCGAATCTTTCCGTTTTCTTGGAAAATTCAACTTTAACTCGTATTTTTTTTTTTAAAAAAAAGCTATCGCTTTTTTTGTTTTGCTCAAAAATTCATTTCAAATCCCCGCAGTGCATCGATTTTCACTGCCCTATGATTACAGGAAAAAAATTAGTGGGGAAGAAATAAACGTTAGGCGATTGCTAGCAGCAGGCTGACTACCAGGCGATGCAGCATTGGTCAAAGCAACTGAAAAAGCTGTCCAAATGAGTCAACTTTGGAGAGGCAAACTATGAAATACCAAAAAAA